AACTCTCAACAAGAGCAATATTAGTGTCAACAAATGAGATCATATATATTTGGGTATCTATTTTACGTTTGAATGTTAGTTCGTTTGTCGTTTCTATGTTCGATATGTCTACTCTTTGATGTGACTTTTGAAGCTCAATTGGTTAGAGCATTGGTTTAGTAAGTGAGAGGTCTTGAGTTTAATTCTCAACAAGAGCAATATTTTTGTTATGAGATTATATATTTGGGTATCTATTTTACGTTTGAATGTTTGTTCGTTTGCCATTTCTATGTTTGATATGTCTACTCTTTCATGTGGCTCTTTGTAGCTCTAATTGTAGCTCACTTGGTTAGAGAGCACCTATGTTTAGGTAAGGAGGAGGTCTTGAGTTAAAAACTCTCTCCTCAACAAGAGAATGAATCATAGATTTGGGTATCTAGTTTACGTTTGAATGTTAGTTCGTTTGCCGTTTATATGTTCGATATGTCTACTCTTTCATGTGGCTCTTGTAGCTCAGTTGGTTAAAGCACTCCCTTAGTAAGGGAGAGATCTTGAGTTCAAATATAAAAAAAAGATCCCCCAAATCATAGATTTTGGGGAGATATGTTTTGAGAATTAGTTTGTTTGTCGTTTCTATGTTCGATATGTCTACTCTTTCATGTGGCTCTTGTGTAGCTCAATTAGTAAGTGGGAGATCTTGATTTAAAATATCAACAAGAGCATGAATATTAGTTCGTTTGCCTTTGGTAGTTGGCGGGAGATTTTGAGTTTGGTATTTGGGTATCTATTTTACGTTTGAATATTAGTTCGTTTGTTGTTTCTATGTTTGATATGTCTACTCTTTCATGTGGCTCTTGTAGCTCAATTGGTTAGAGCACCGCTTTAGTAAGCGTGAGGTCTTGAAATCATATATTTGGGTATCTATATTACGTTTGAATGTATGTCTATTCCGAGCATTGAGTGTATAGCTTTCAATAAGAGCACTTTTATAAAAAAAATATCAAATAGATTGGAATTTATCCTTAACTGTTAGTTCATTTCTCATTTCTATGTACGATGTGGAATTTAACACGATGTGTTATGCCCTAATGTCTACTAAGTATGTAGTTGACATACCAGAGTATCGTGTTCAAGTAAATACCTAGAGGAACGTAAGTATATGGACAAGGTTGGGTGGGCTTATCCTTTAATTTACATGGGTGGGGTATGTAGAATGTAGTGGGTATAATAAAAATGTGTACTACCACTCTGCTATAAGGGCTATTAGTATTAAAACTCGACTCTCAACCTTAACAATTCTACTGGACCTAAAATCCGACTATTCTAATACCAATTTGTTATGACTTAATTTTTTTAAGTTTATACACAATGCCCCAAGACATGTGTATGCATGCCCTCATGCAGAAATGAACAAGAACTACATACCTCTAGCACTGAGCTATAAGCGCTATTAGTATTAAAAACTTCACTCTCGACCTTGGCAATTCTATATGAACTCTCCCACCTTGACTGACAATAGCGAACACATGAATACAAAATGTGTACGCCCTCATGCAGGATTTTACTAGACCTTTAGTTTACAAGACTTGACACTCTACCACTGAGCTATAAAGGCTATTAATTTCAAAACTTGACTCTGGAACTCTCCCACCTTGACCGACAATAGCGAACACATGAATACAAAATGTGGATGCCCTCATGCAGAATTTTACTACAGACCTTCAGTTTACAAGATGGACGCTCTACCACTGAGCTATAAGGGCTATTAGTTTCAAAACTTGACTCTCGAGATCTTGGCAGTTCTATATGAACTCTCCCACCTTTCCCGACAATAGCGAACACATTAATACAAAATGTGTATGCCCTGGAGCTCTATCACTGAGCTATAAGGGCTATTAATTTCAAAACTTGACTCTCCCACCTTGATTGGAAATAGCAAAAACACATGAATACAAAATGTGTATGCCCTCATGCAAGATTAAACTACAAGCCTTTAATTTACAAGACTAACGCTCTACCAATGAGCTATAAGGGTTGTTAGTTTCAAAACTTGACTCTCCCATCTTGACTAATAATAGCGAAAACACATGAATACAAAATGTGTATGCCCTCATAGGATTGAACTACAAACCTTCAGTTTACAAGACTGACACTCTACCACTGAGCCATAAGACCCAATAGTTTCAAAACTTGACTCTCCCATCTTGACCGATAATAGCGAAAACACATGAATACAAAATGTGTATGCCCTCATGCAGGATTAAACTATAAACCTTCCGTTTACAAGATTAACGCTCACAAATAAATACAAATTATGTATGCCCTCATGCAGGATTGAACTACAGAGACCTTCAGTTTACAGACGCTCTACCACTAAGCTATAAGGGCTGTTAGTTTCAAAACTTGACTCTCTCAGCTTGACCGATAATAGTGAAAACACATGAATACAAAATGTGTATGCCCTCATGTAGGATTGAACTACATACTTTTAGTTTACAAGATTGACACCACAGAGATCTATGGGCTAATTCTCCCACCTTGACCGACAATAGAGAACACTTGAATACGAAATGTAGAATGTAATGAGAATAAAAATGTGTATGCCCTCATGCAGGAGGGAACTACAAACTTTTAATTTACAAGACTGACACTCTACCAATGAGCTATAAAGACTATTAGTATTAAAGTTTGACTCTCAACCTTGGCAATTCTATAGGAACTCTCTCACCTTGATTGACAATAAGCGAATACATGAATACGAAATGTAGAATGTAAGATTGAAGTGCAAACCTTTAGTTTACAAGACTGACGCTCTATCACTGAGATATAAGGGCTATTAGTATTAAAACTCGACTCTCGACCTTGATAGCTCTACTAGACCTAAAACCTGACTTCTCAAATGTTAGATGTAGCGAGTGTATGCTCTACAAGACCTAAAGCTCATTACAATAAGCCAAGACGACCCTATTAGTAAACACATGAAACACATGAATACAAAATGTAGAATGTTGTTGGTATGAAAATGTGTATGCCCTCATGCAAAATTGAACTGCGTACCTTTAATTTACAATACTGACACTCAACCACTAAGCTATAAGAGCAATTAATATCAAAATTCAACTCTCGACCCATACAATTCTACTAGACTTAAAATCTGACTACTCTCTTACCAATTTATTATGACTCGGTTTTTTAATGCTTAGAATCTTGTAACGTGATAAAAAAATAAAATAGATCAAAACCTAATAGATTTTCAAGTTTATTTACAAACTAGAAATAAGTTTAGGCACGATAAAAATTAAAACAATATATAAAAGACCTAATATTATAAATGATTGATGTCCAAAGATGACCCCTCTGAACTTTAGAGCACTCTCCTACCTCACCAGTGAACATGTGGAAAAAAAATTGTGGACTTTGAAGACTATAAGAAATTGTAGACTCCGAACAACCGGTCACGTCTGAACTAACCAAATGCAGAAAAATTCAACCCAACATCCAAAAATAAACAACTCACTGTCCAACCCGTGCACAGATGACAGTACTAGAATGACTATGGAAGCTAAGTCAGGATAGTAGTATGAATGTTTTTCCTCAATAGTTTATAAGTATTCGAGGGTTCTCATTTTCTTATTGAAATTCACGTTAATGTTTCTTTCATAATGATTATCGTACTTTTTATTTCTTGTTTTAACTTGAAGTAAGTCTACGGCTTCCTAAGAAAGATTCTAGTGAGTTTTCTATATATTTTTTAAAAGTCAGGCATGGAGTGACGCCTCTAATTTAGGTTAGAAAATTAGGGGTATGTAGTTCAATCCTATACTTTTCATGAATCTTCGTATGCATACGTGTACCTGACATATCCTTTATTCTTATTATATGTGACTCATCTAATGTCTTATAGGGCATAATTTGAACATGATATCTAGCATGCATAGATTGACATACTGGAAGTACATGCATCATAAAAAAGCTCATAAACATCACATCAACAAGTGATAACATGTAGCTAAGTCCCAGAGTACGTGTTGTTCATACAACATATAATTCATCCAATTTAGTTCGAAGGAGTTCAAAAAGTAAGATCACTTACTTTATTGGCCTAAGTCAAAGCCAAAGTCACTCATGTGAGCCTGAGTTACAATTGGTATCAGAGCCAGACACTAGACGATGTGTCAGCTTTCTCGCTATTACCTGAATGGGGGTAGACACATGGCGGTGTGCCAGTAAGGACGCTGGTCCCAAAGGGAGTGGATTTGGTGGTGGTCCCACATTGATTGGAAGAAGGAAAAAGTGTCAGCGAGGACACTGGGTCCCGAATGGGGTGGATTGTGATATCTCAAATGCGAGTACACAGGGCCCCGAAGGGAGTGGATTGTGATATCCCACATTGGTTGGGGAGGAGAACGAGACACCCTCTACAACGGTGTAGAAATAGGGGAAGCCGTTACAATAAAACTAGACGTGAAGTTGTTGTCTATTCAAATTTAATGTCACCAATTATCTCAGAAGAAGTCTCGATTTGAGGTTCTGTTTAGAGTAAATAAAATGTCTGAGAATAGAATATCGAGTATTAGATGACACTACAACACTTGTGGCTTTTTACTAACTTGTATAGAATTTTAACACAAATGCTATTAAAAAAAATACATGAATTTGTAAGAAGGGAAGTGATTTACGCGCTTTGAGTATCGAGGGAAGTGATACACAAACACGAAGAAAGATCTTTATAGTATCTATAATGAGAAATTAAAGTTGCTATCCGACAATGATGATGTAACGACCATTTTTTGATTTGTGTATGTCATCAACTTTACGAATATAAACTTAGTTTGGATTTAAAAAAAAAAAAAAAAAACATTTGTTATACATACTAAGTAAATTATATTGAATCAGGTAAAGTTATAATGTTTTACTATTATAATCTTGTAATTATAAACTTTAAAATGGAAAATATTATATGTTCCAAAATATGACCGTTAAAAGTTTAAATGGAGCGCACTAACAAAGACAGTCGGAGGATCACTTTCGAGGGAAATAACAGAACCTTCAGGCACAGAAAAATCCCCAATTCCAAAATCCTCATCGGAACCACTCCAAATGGAAATCGACCGTCCTTCCGCCGTCCAAATGCCGGAGATTTCTCAGTACGAGCAGTCCAGAGAGTTGAGAATCAGAGAAAATTTGGAGCGTATGCAGAAGCTAGGCATCCTTGACCTCTCTCTCAAGCTCAAGTCATCCGCTCCTTCGAGGCAAAATCGCCGAAGATCGCTTAATCCGAAAGCTTCTCCACCTTCATTCAACCTCCCGCAGGCAGGTCCAGTCCGCCGATCATCCAGGTTCTCTCGAATCATGAATCTCACTTTCTTAGCCCTAAGATGAACCGACTGGACTCGTTCTCTGATCTTGCCATGAAATTGAGAATATTGTGTTTTTTTCCCTCTTAATCTTGTCCATTGTGATTTTCTTTTGCGGATTTAGGTTACAGAATGTGACGCCAGTGACTTACTCTGAACTTCGAGTGGAGAGAAAAGGCAAGTTTTCAGAGGATGAGGGCGTGATTCTTGAAGATGGTTCGAGGCCGGAGATATACTCGGAAGAGCATGAGAAGCGGTTGGGCAGTACAGGGAAGATCTGGACGCTGTTTGTGGATGGATATGGTAAGGATGGGAAACGAATTTATGATCCAGTAAAGGGAAAAACGTGCCATCAATGCAGGTTTGTTCAAACAAAAAATATTCTAAAACCTTCACTGGAAATATATTGAGTATGTTTGGTTTATTGAAATTAGAATTGAATTAGAAAGAAAGAACAGCTTTGTTTAGTTAGTGGAAAATGCTATGTATCAATCATGTCTTACAGGCAAAAAACATTAGGGCATCGCACTCATTGCAGCAAATGCAACATGGTCCAAGGCCAATTTTGTGGAGACTGTCTGTATATGAGGTATACTCTTGATATCCCCAATTTGACATATTTGACATATTTGTTTTTGATTTCCATGGTAGCATTCTTTGTCGAGGATGGTTGAGAGGGAGTCCCACATTGACTAATTTAGAAAATGATCATGGGTTTATAAATAATGAATACATCTCCATTGATATGAGGCTTTTTGGAGAAGCCTAAAACAAAGCTACGAGAGCTTATGTTCAAAGTAGACAATGTCATACCAATGTGAAGAGGTGTGATTCCTAACTTCTTTTTCCAATTTCTGGCAGATATGGAGAGCATGTTCTTGAAGCGCAGCAAAATCCCAGTTGGATATGTCCTGTTTGTCGTGGGATTTGTAACTGCAGTTTGTGTCGCCAAGCAAAGGGATGGCTTCCTACTGGGAGTCTGTATAAGAAGGTAAATTTCTAAGCCATTGTGTACTGTTTTGGTCAGGAGAATTTGCAGCTAAGTTCAATAGTTTGAACTGTATAGATAGCAAGGATGGGGTTCAAGTCTGTTGCGCATTTTCTCATTCAGACCCAACGTCCACAGCCTAATTCTGGGCAGAGTTCTACTGATTTTGCTTCTGCTAAGAGGGAATTGTGCTTCCCAGATTTTGAAGCTAATCCTGTAGGATCTCTTAGTGTTAATGATAAACTCATAGAAACAATGGAAAAGCGAAGTATAGTGCAGAGTATTTCGGATTACGAGACCAAAGATCAAATTTCTGTTAAGAGGTCACTGAGTTTTTCATGTCTGGAGCAGCAAAATCATCTGGATCATGAAAATGATGAACAGTCACAGCTTCAATCTGCAAACTATGATGAACTTAGAGAAGACGTTGTCAACGAGAAAGAACAGTCAGTGCATTGCCTAAAAAGAAAGAATGATGGTGATAACTACAGTCCAATGCCTGTAAAGAAACCAACAATTAGAGTAGAATCAAGCACCGTGGATCAAAGCATGGAAAAGAAGATTGATGATATTAGGCACCTAACAAGCTCAAGGGTCATCCAAGAAAGGGATGATAAAACATCAGAAGAGGGTGCAAACAGTTTGTCAAAGAAGAAGCTGAAATGTGTAAGTAATGGTAGGGTGTTACGGCCTAGACATCAAAGCCTCGAGAAGACAACTGATATTAGCAGTCAAACTACCATCCTGGAAGGCACCTCTTCATCGGAGCTAAAATCTGCCACTAGCAGTAGGGTTTTGCGGCCTAGACATAAAACAATGATGTAGAGCTACACACTACGTGTTTTAGATTTACCATTAAAGTTTTCAGCTTTTTATAAAATGAAACACAACTCTATTTACTTTGAGCAATAGCTCTCATGACTTTGTTTTGTGATTTTTTAAAAGGCCTCACACCAATAGAGATAGTATTCTTTGATTATAAACTCATGATCATTCCCTAAATTAGCAGATTTAAGACTCTCATTCTCCAATCATCCAACCGTGCTAAAAATGGATATCAAAAGAACTTGAAAGAGAATATCATCTCTAGGTCGAGGACAAACCTAAAAATTATGAGAATTTAAACTATATATTACTCGACGCAAAAGTAGAGCATGACCAATTCATATACAAAATATCCCAATAAAACGTTCATTTAATTGAAGATTTCGTTTGGCTATTCATGAATATCAGAGGTATAGGAATAATATTGTGTTTTATATTAAGCTATGTCTAATTATTGAATTATTTCTTTTTCTTTTTTATTTAGTTTTCATTAATTACTGAAAATTGATTTACAAAATAGGTGCTAAATATAATACATTTCATAAATATAATATAGCTATAATTCCAATATTAATTATTGAATTTATAATTAGTTAATATGAATGTAACCCGGGTTCTATGATAAGTTTATTTTATTCTTTTAAAATTTAAATTTTGAATGAGAGATTTTAATTTAGTAGAATTTAATTGCTCCTTTCATTCATATTATAAATTGAAAAAGGCTTCTATTAGATTCTCGAGATTGGGCGTGTTTAGAAATTATATTGGTAGATTTTTTTAGAAATTATATTAGATTTTTGTTTATCTTTTTTAATAAAAAATTATATTGTAAAATAGAAATGAATTTTATTACAAATGAGAAAAATAGGTATAAGATATAATTACAATACGATATACAAAAAAAAACATTAATACAAGGATGGATTAATGCTTCAGAACAAGCCTCTTTGTGACCGCACAACTCCCGACACTCCTCCACCTCGATTGATAGCCTGCAAACACTTGAAAAATAAAGGGAAAAGGGGTGAGTATAAAAATACTCAGTAATCAACCTATTTACGAGCTCTCATCACACTTTATCATAGTAGGCATCCACATATTTTACTCTCGCTCTAGGAAGTTTAGAATTAGTCTCTACTATTATTTGAGCATGTGGGATGTTTCGAAGCTCTAAACAGCTCTCTTATCTAAATCTCACTCCCTAAGGTGGGTTTGTTCAGGTTCTACAACCTTTCGACTCTTTGACTTAGGTAGCTTAATTTGTTTGCACAATAAATGTTCAGTGTGCTCATCTATGGTATGGAAGGTTAATTGGAAAACCTTTCCATAGGACCATAAAGTCTCCTTGGAAATGTAACTCTCAATGTGTCATGCAGCTATTGAGTCCGCTACTAATTTTAAACAAATTGTTCAATTAGAAAATCAACGATACTTAAGGAGGAATATGTAATTACATGGGTAAAATAACCTTTTAACGAAACTGTAATTACAAACAACTCGTGAATGATCAATTTACTTATAATGATTATATCTATAGATACAAGTTACCATATCGTGCATGAGTTATAAGTGAACGATAAACGCATTAAAGAACGAAACCCAATTTGGAATTCCATATATATGGAAACAATGAAATAAAATAAAGAGGAAAAAATGAAATAAGAAAGAAGGGCAAAAAGGAAGAACAATAAGAAAACAGCAAGGGAGAAAGCTCCAAGCAAACCCTACCTCACATTTGCTAATATTCTTAGTCATGTTTTGTCCGTAGTGGACAACTGACGGGACTTCACCCTTCATCCCTAAGAAAATACAAAAACAAAACAATAATTTCAACTTTATATAACAAATTGATGTTTCTGGGTGTGACATTTATAATACTTTTTTAATTTTAGAATTGCTTCATAATTCAAAATGTATTATTACGGTTTTATTTAAGTTTTTTCGGAACATGCAAGCATGTCTCATCCGATATTCTTATCATGAAAAGTATGGAAGTATCGTGTGCATCATTACACTGTACCATGGTTTTAAATGTAGGACCTTATAAAAACTATATGTCACAAGCGTGAATTACTTCCCCAATATGTTACGTACGGACATGTACACCACAAGATACACACTTCTTTCTTGTCCATTGGTTTCCAACCGTGTGAGTATGTATGTGTTATCCCGTAATCAAGTCTAGAAGATATGTGTATGAGCTTGTCTAGTGGGTTCATGCTTAATTACGTGAGAGTCCAACCATACCCAAAAATAAATAAGTAGGACCCAATGAACCGTCATGAAAAATATGTTTCACCTCACCAATCTGGAACCATGTTTCATGTGATTGAATTCTTTGATTCCAATAGTAGAGTCACTGACAGACGAAGTACATTTAAATACTCTTTGTATCTCTATCATTTTTTAGTAAAGACAATAAATCATGTACAGATGATAAACACTAACTTTACCACTTATGTTGCATTCCCCTTGTTAGGATGCATTAGTAGTATTTCTATTTTAAAACCTTAATAGTTTTTTTTTCTTTTTTTTTCTAATATCAATTAGGTTTTTATTATGTTTGCCGTATTTATGAACATTTAAGTCTATGATAATTTTAAGATAAAATGTCTCAAATGGGTTCCGTCCTAGAGAGAAGAAAGTGTAGAGTTACTACGGAGATTGTTTCTACGTCTAAATTTTATTAATCTATTTAATAAAAATCTTAAAACAAAGTATTTTTTAAAAATAAATCGAATAGAAGATAGAAATTAACACTTTTAATTATTTTTTTCTTTTCCCTAAAGAAAAAAAAACATATAAATTCAAGCACAAGATTGCTTAGTCCACAAAGTACTTTAAGAACAAATAAGCAAAAAAAAAAAAAAGATTGGGAATCAATTAGATGCAAATGGGTTTGCCATATTATGATCATTAAAATTTTAAAATTCAAATCTTTTATTAAAAATTCCGGTAATAATTTTATTTTTAAAATTAAGTTTATTCGTAAAGGATTTGGTAAGTTTTTTTTTTACTTTCCAAGAATATTACCATGCAAACAATAAAGTTAAATTCAAATTTTTACTACTATTAGATATGAATATATGACAATATTTTAATTAGAAGTTATACTAAAATAAATATTTTATTTTTGTTTCTATTTTAATTAAAAAGAGACTCAATAATGTGATAAAAAAAAAATAAAAGTTGAGTTGGATTATATATTTTTTATTTTTTAATTGAATTAAACTTAATTTTTTAAAAACAAAAAAATTCAGATATAGTTGGTGGCTGACATTTTCTTCTTTGGGTGAATCCAACCAACCAAAAATAGAATTATAATCCAACTCTATCCTGACTTACTTTTCAAATATATATATATATATATAAAAGTAAGGTGGGTTGATTTATAAATGTTTAATATTTAAATTTTATAAAACGTTAATATTATATAATTAGAAGTTCTTAAATAATTTTAAAAAAGAACAACCTGCCAACCTAACTAGTTGGGTTGTGAATATTATGTAGGTTACTCGAGTTGCCAATACAGCTAACCCGAAATTTTGAGTTGGTTTAAAAGATTTTTACAACTCCATCTAATCTAACCCGTACACTCTTAGAATAATAAGAAATTAACAAATAAAACCAAACATAGACAACATTTAACTAACATTTTTGTCAATCCATTCAATTAGGAGAGGAATTTCATTCCATCCTGAGCCGGAACAAGCCGGAACAACCCTGATGTTCAAACTACAGTCTAATTAACAATGTACAGAAATGGAGAAGAAACCATTGGCTCAAATCCAATCAAACAGATCAATAGAATTCATTTGAGATTAGACAATTCGAATTGATGAACATTTTTAAATGCAGGTCCTAAGAGAAAGAGAACTTAAAATCAATCAAGAACAAGAACCAAATGTTATTTGACTTTTTTTAATCTGTCATGATTGAAATAAAATAGAAATAAAAGTCACTGAGGGGTCCCTCCAAAAATCATTCAATTGGTAGTAGCGAAGTTAAATGGTTCAAACTAAAGGTGATAATAAATAAATAAATAAATAAAAGTCTTTACTACTACTCGATGCCTTTTTCCTCTGTTTCTCTGAAATGCTAATGGTGGGAATGCACATTTGATTTAAGGGTCAATTGGTTTATTTCTGTTGGGGTTTTTCACTGCAAAATTTCGTGATCCGGGTCTGTGTTCTTATGGTTCGGCTCTTAATTTGATGGCGAAATAAACCCCGCAGGGTCTTAGATTTAGGCTCTCTTTTGCAGTTTTGTGGGGTTTTTTTTTTCTCTTTGAAACTTGGGTTTGATGCATCATTCACTATGGAAGCCTCTATCTCACTGTGCTGCTTTGATTATGGATAAGAAGAGTAGAAGAAAAGATGGGTCTGATTCAGCGATGGATTTGAAGAAACACAAATTGATTCTTCGAAAACTTGAAGAACACAAGCTTAGAGAAGCTCTTGAAGAAGCTTCTGAAGATGGGTTTCTCTTCAAATCGCAAGATGTGGGCTCTGAGCCACTGCCCAACGAAGATAGCAATGGCTTGGGCCGATCTCGATCGCTTGCTAGACTTCAAGCTCAGCGGGAATTTCTCAAGGCCACAGCCATGGCAGCCGATCGTACATATGAATCTGATGATGCCATTCCTGATCTTCATGAAGCTTTCACCAAGTTTCTTACAATGTACCCGAAGTATAAGTCATCAGAGAAGATTGATCATCTTCGTTCGAATGAATATTCGCATTTGCTTAAGGTATGTCTTGATTACTGTGGATTTGGGTTGTTTTCATATGTTCAGAGTCTTCATACTTGGGAGTCTTCTACTTTTAGTTTGTCTGAAATTGCTGCAAATTTGAGTAATCAAGCTCTTTATGGTGGTGCTGATAGAGGGACTGTAGAACATGATATAAAGAGTAGGATTATGGATCATTTGAACATTCCTGAGCATGAATATGGGCTTGTTTTTACTGTTAGTAGAGGGTCTGCTTTCAAATTGTTGGCTGAATCATATCCTTTTCATACCAATAAGAAATTGTTGACTATGTTTGATTATGAGAGTCAATCTGTGAATTGGATGGCTCAATGTGCTCGAGACAAGGGTGCTAAGGCCTATAATGCTTGGTTTAAATGGCCAACTTTGAAACTCTGCTCAACTGACTTGAGGAAACAGATAACAATCAAGCGAAGGAAGAAGAAGGATTCTGTTGGTTTATTTGTGTTTCCAGTTCAATCTAGAGTGACTGGTGCTAAGTACTCATACCAATGGATGGCTCTGGCACAGCAGAACAATTGGCATGTTTTGCTTGATGCTGGGTCATTAGGTCCAAAGGACATGGATTCTCTTGGTTTATCGCTTTTTCGACCAGATTTTATCATCACGTCGTTTTATAGGGTTTTTGGGTATGATCCTACTGGTTTTGGATGTCTTCTGATCAAGAGATCAGTGATGGGAAGCTTACAAACTCGGTCCGGGGTTACTGGCTCTGGAATGGTGAAGATAATCCCGGAGTATCCCATGTATCTGAGTGACTCGATGGATGATCTTGATGGATTAGGACGGTTTGAACATGAAGAAGTTGCAGGGGTTGTGGAGAAAACATCCGAAACTCGTCCGGGATTGCAACTTCCTGCTTTCTCAGGTGCCTTCACGTCTGTTCAGGTGAGGGATGTTTTTGAAGCAGAGATGGATCATGATAACAGCTCTGATAGAGAAGGAACAAGCACCATACTTGAGGAAAGTGAGACTATTTCTTTAGGGGATGTGATGAAGAGCCCGGTATTCAGTGAAGATGAATCTTCGGATTGTTCGATTTGGATCGACTTAGGTCAGAGTCCGGTAGGATCTGATAATGCAGGTCCCTTGCCTCAGTATTGGTTAAAAGGGAAGAAGAAGAACCTAGTCTCACATAAGCCAACTTCTAAGATCCATAGTGATCCGACTTACGACAATGCTGAAGATTTGAACTTAGGGCCCTATGACGAGTACCATACGCTATCCTTTGATGGCATTGAGGAAGTTCACGGAGAGCTACGTGCAGAAACAAGGGCCACATCGGCTAATAACAGGGCCATTACAGAGATCCACAAAGTCACAGAAACAGGGAAACTGCTTTCCAATGGTTATTCAATAAACTCAGCATTGAACAATGAATTTTATCATGGACAGGACGATGGAACGATGTCGGAACTATGTTCGGAGATGAAGGAGAGTGCGATTAGAAGGGAAACAGAAGGTGAATTCAGGTTGTTAGGGAGAAGGGAAGGAAGCAAGCATGTTGGAGGAAGATTTTTTGGGTTGGAAGAGACTAATTTGCAAGGCCTAGAAAGAGAAGTTTATTCTAGGATGGAAGAGAGTGGGAAGGAGCTTCATAACATCGAGACTGGAGAAGGCTCGGTGACGAGCCTCGATGATGAAGATTATACTAGCAACGGAGAATATGACGACGAGGAAGAGTGGAACAGGAGGGAACCCAAGATTATATGTCGACATCTCGATCACATAAATATGTTAGGATTGAACAAGACAACACTTCGACTTCGGTTTCTGATAAATTGGCTCGTCACATCGTTGCTTCAACTAAAGTTTCCGGGTTTGGAAGGAAGCAACAAAGTGAACCTAGTTCAGATTTATGGACCAAAGATAAAATATGAAAGGGGAGCAGCAGTAGCTTTCAATGTGAGAGACAGAAACAAGGGACTAATCAATCCAGAATTTGTTCAGAAGCTAGCTGAAAGAGATGGCATATCTCTTGGCCTTGGATTCCTCAGTCACATTCGTGTTTTGGACAACCCGAGACGGCAACGTGGCGTTTTAAACCTTGAAGATTCATCCCTGTGCAGACAAGCCAGAAATCGGAGGCATGGGAAACACGGGTTTGCACGGCTCGAGGTCGTAACAGCTTCGTTGGGATTCTTGACGAACTTCGAAGACATTTACAAACTGTGGGCATTTGTGGCGAAGTTTTTAGATGCTTCATTTGTGAAAGAGGGAACACTTGCTCCTGTTGAAGAAGGTTCTGAAACAACCTGAATCTGTTCATCTGTTCATAGTGTTTGGAGAAGATAGGAATTGTTTGAAATTGTAATGTGTTTGGATTCAATTTATGTTTATAATTGGTTAGATTTAGATTGTGTCTCCTTGTGAGCTCTGGAAATCTGGAAAGTTGAATATATATTGCCCCTATGTTTAATTCAACCAACTTTTTTTTCTTACTTGCCTTTAGCTCGACCGAAAGATTTTGAATATATAAGTAAGGGAATGTAAGGTCTTTTAGGAAAACCAAAATTAGAAGATAATGAAAAGGGAGTAAGATTTTAGGGTAAGTTGGATAAAAAATCTCAAACTCATTGGGTTTGGATGAGGACATACTTTCCTGATGATTAATTTTGGTAGAGTTCTTCATGACTTTATTGATTATTGTTGTGTTTTTACTATAAACAACAAACAAAAACCAATTCGCAAACACAAACAATCTCTCCGGATGGCTTTCTTCACTTCACCGATTCCCCATTTCTTCAAGATCATTCTCCACCACACTCTCATCGAAAGAAAGCTTGTAAGCAACCTAATCCAATCCACATTCTCTCTGATCTCTTCATTTTCTTATCAATTTCTTTTTTGCAGGATCTTCCAAGCAAGTTTGTTATCAACAATCGCGCTTCTTTGCTACACAACAACGCCACTCTCAGCCTTCCGGACGGCGCAAACTGGGAGGTCGAACTCAAGAAATCGGATGGCAAAGTATCGTTCGCAAGAGGCTGGCCGGAATTCGTGCAGTTTTACAATGTGAAAGCTGGATATTTCGTGGTTTTCAGATTGGAAGGAAATCGGTGCTTCAATGTTCTCATTTTCGACTTGAGTGCTACGGAAATCGATTATCCGATCAAGCCGAGGATCTTCCGCCGGCTACGTAAGGACCACAACAGAGCCTTCGATCGCCGCCCGCCGATTCTGCTTCCGAAGAGCGAGAACGAAGATGATGAGGACAACTCTGTTGTTGTGTTAAACGACGCCGTTTCGAGGAAGAGGAAACGAGAAAAAGATCACGAAGCTGCTTTTTGTTCCCTACGCGAGATGAAGAAGATGATGAGGACGAACATGAAGATAAAGCATCAACGATTCACTACACCTCAACGATTCAGCGATGATGAAGAAGAAGACGAAGACGAAGAAGAAGAAGAAGAAGACGAAGAAGACGAAGAAGACGAAGAAGACGAAGAAGAAGAAGATTACTCGTGGAGACAGAGAAAGTACAGAGGATCAGGTTCGTTCGCAAAAATTCTATAAATTTCAATTTCAATTTCAGCAAGCGGTACCAAAATTGGATGAATTCTCACCGATTTCAGCGCGTAATCACGAAGACGGCGGCCGATTCAGTCCAGAATCGATGAGACCTATGCATCCTCCAAGGACGCCGAAGCCATTAACGGAGAATCAAGAGCGAGTTCTGAGAATAGCGAGTTCGTTCAAATTGAGGACGAAGAATCCTTCATTCATGGTAACGATGAGGCCTTCCTACATCCAAACAGGAAATTACCTGGTAAGAAGAAAACAACGAAATGGAATGATTCTCAATTGAAACAGTGATTGAACAATGATTTCTGAAATGCGTAGAGTTTGCCGAGAAGCTTTGCGGAGAGGTACCTGCAAGAATCGACGGACGTGAAGCTGGAAGTGGCGGACGGGAGGATTTGGAGCGTGTGGTGCGGTGTACGGTGGGCGTTTACGAGGCGGCGGACGGAGTTGAAATGCGGTTGGAAGAGATTCGCTGTGGATAATCAGTTGAAGGAAGGGGACGTGTGTGTGTTCGAATTGATGAACAGAATCCCCAAAGTGTTCTTCAAAGTCACTATTTTCCGGCGACCGGCTAACTGAATTCATCATTCTCCTGCTTTTTCTATTTCTTTTTCTTCGCTCCCTTTCTGCTTCAACCCGTGACTGTTTAACCTTACCCTACGTACGTCACAGGCACATATAGACTTTCAGTTTAGCTATAAATGCTTTTTGTTAGGTGGTCCCGTCAAATCGTATTTTCATAAATAATAATAATCCAAAAATTGAAAACTACGTTAAAAATTTTATTTATTTATTTTAAATTTGACTAAAAATTTAAATGTTTTCGTAGAGAAAATAAAAGTGATTGAAGGTTTGTTGAAAATGATATTTTTTTCAAAAAATAAAAATAAAAAATGTATGAAACTAAAATCATATTATACCAAATTTTAAATTGCTAATGGAAAAGAAAGTAATGTTGTAAGGTGGGAAAAGTAATAGAAAAGTTGAGGACTACTATTTATAGGAAAATTAAAATTATTTGACAATTTTTTCTCCCAAAGAATTTAAAACATAATATATGATATATTTATATCATTTTAAAATATAGTTAAAACACGAAATAAGGAACAAATACAAAATATTTAAAAACAAAAGAGGTTGGAGACGATCGATGAGGCTTGTCTAATGACACTTGCTCCAGAGTCTGCTCCTAACCTCGACCAACTTCTTAGTTATCTAAAAAACATGGAAAATATGGAGTGAGTATAAAGACTCAATAAGTAGGCTCTTAATCGTGCATATGCTAGGGTACAACACTTCATTGTTGCAAGTACTTAGGCCCAATTTAGCTGGAGTACCTTGGTCCTTGGATTACGAGGTATCAACCTTGGTTCTTATCTAAGGACCTTAGTACCAATGTTCTAGATTCTTGTCTTCAGAACTTGGATCTTAATCCATGTTCTAATTCTTGATTGTTGATTCGTACTTGGCTATTTTCTAGGATTTTGTTTTGTTCTTGGTTTGTTCTCCAAAATACTCCCCTTAGGATTCACGATACAAGTCATGAACCTGACAACTCCAAGGCTTCATACATTCCAAGCGACACAATCTTAACATATGTCCAAGGTTTCATGTGTTCCACGCGACATAGTTTGATCCCGCATCCAGGACTTCATTATTCCCTACGATAGGATCTGAATACCTATGCCCAAGGCTTCATACGTTCCAAGCAACGTAGTATGAAAATCTACATCCAAGTTTTCTTACATTTCAAACGATATAGTCTGAGTCATAAACATGTTGTATCGTGGGAGGTTGAGAAGTTTCTTGAATTTCTGAGTCTAATGATCTTGATCTCTTGTCCTTGAGTGGTACCTAGCATCCTTTAAGCATTTCTTAGACCCTAAGTTGGTTTAGGTTCCTAATTTTCTCTAATTAATTTGAAAATTTGAATATATTTTTATATCCTTAAGAATAAGCCTTAAAAAGTAGTAAGTCATTTGGAAATATGTTTAGAGGTTGAAATATGTTAAAAAATTCTAGAGGCATTTTGGTCCTTTTACCTCCTAAATCCTAGTTTGGCCTCTGAACATGTTCCAATAACTTTCAAACTATCATCATAAAATAAGGCCTATTATAAAGTTTCATATAATTTGGAGATCATTTAGATCATGAATGGAAAAAAGTTACAGAGATCATTCAGATCATGAATCGAAGATAAGTTACCTTAGGGACATTATAGTCATTTTACACCGTTACTTAACTACTTAACCTTGTCTAATGACTAATAAATTTCATATATATAAGCTTTAACATACCATAATATGCTTGGTAGCGGAGTCCATTTATTGGGTCATTTTCATGTTACTTAAATCCTGAACAAATCAATCAGTTTAAGGCCTTAACTCTCTCGATGTTTTTCTCTCATATTCATTTGATTAATACTTATTTTAAGGTTCATACTAAAATCCAAGTGATTCCTATCCGTGTTTTTCAAGGAAAGTTTAAGATGACTACTTACTTCGTCATCGACGTTTGGGGCCTCCGTTTTTGAGTTTCTGATATCCGAATTACTTCAAATTTTCTTTGACAGATTTCTTTGAGAGTCTAGTTTCTACCACCATAAAAATTTTCATGAAAATTGGTCTGAAAGAGGATTAAAATTGAGAAAAATCGAAGGAAGAAGACGTGCATGACCTTTGCGTCGTCGCCTGAAAATGCACCTCTCTAGCTCTATATACAGTATTCTCCCCTCGATTTTTTCATGAAACTTTAAGATGGTATTAGAGGGAATAGCTAGAGATTGATTTCATACCTTCTATTGGAATGTATCTTGAGTTATTCACCTCCAAATTTTCCTAGCTGGAATTCAAGCGAGAAAATTCTTATTGGTAGCCGTTTCTAGTGCTTTTCAAAACCCAATTTCTTCATGAAATTTCTTCTTTTATTCTTTCCTCTAGCTAAAGTAATCATTTTGGAGTAACGTCTTTAAGCGTGTGGTCTTAATTTTGGATTTGTTTCCTCCGTCTCAACTCACCCGAAAACGCAGGATCTTCTTTTCTTAGACAGCTTAATCTAGGACTATTAGCTCTCGATTTCTTCATCGAAGTTACACATCTTAGTCCTCCAATGCTAAATGAAGTCTCAATTTTAAGAAAAATGGATCGTAGATGGGAATTTGATTCTTACCCCCATTTCGTACCCGAAAACGATTTTCCCTAATTAGGCACGCTCAGGGACTTATTAGCCTTCGTGGTCTTCTACTTAAATATTTCTTGGATGTGCACAAATAGAATAAGACAGTGGTTTTCTACTTAAATATTTCTTGTGGGTAATCTTGTTTAGAAGATGTAGAACAAGTAGGGAAATGGTAGACTATGACTCTCAAATTTGGAAGAAATTCGGTAGTAGGAGACCCAAAATCTCAAAGGCTATAGTTTTCCTTTTGCTCGACTTAGCTTGATTCTTACTCTAAATGAAAACCCATACTTTATACTTCATAGAGGGAGCTTAAATCAATTACAAACCTTCAATTTATAAGAATGACGCTCTACCACTGAGCTATAAGGGCTATTAATATTAAAACTCAACTCTATCTTGATGGCCTAAAAATATATTACAAACCTTCAATTTATAAGAATGACGCTCTACCACTGAGCTATAAGGGCTATTAATATTAAAACTCAACTCTATCTTGATGGCCTAAAAATATGTGTATGCCCTCATGCAGGATTAAACTACAGACCTTCAGTTTACAAGACTGATGCTCTACCACTAAGCTATAAGGGCTATTAATATTAATACTCAACTCTCGACCTTGGCAATTCTATAGAAACTCTTGTTTAAAAATGTGGGCTGACGCTATTAATACTCAACTCTCGACCTTGGCAATTCTATAGAAACTCTTGTTTAAAAATGTGGGCTGACGCTCTACCACTGAGCTAGAGCTATAAGGGCTATTAATATTAAAACTCAACTCTATCTTGATGGCCTAAAAATATGTGTATGCCCTCATGCAGGATTGAACTACAGACCTTCAGTTTACAAGACTGATGGCCTAAAAATATGTGTATGCCCTCATGCAGGATTGAACTACAGACCTTCAGTTTACAAGACTGATGCTCTACCACTAAGCTATAAGGGCTATTAATATTAATACTCAACTCTCGACCTTGGCAATTCTATAGAAACTCTTGTTTAAAAATGTGGGCTGACGCTATTAATACTCAACTCTCGACCTTGGCAATTCTATAGAAACTCTTGTTTAAAAATGTGGGCTGACGCTCTACCACTGAGCTAGAGCTATAAGGGCTATTAATATTAAAACTCAACTCTATCTTGATGGCCTAAAAATATGTGTATGCCCTCATGCAGGATTGAACTACAGACCTTCAGTTTACAAGACTTGATGGCCTAAAAATATGTGTATGCCCTCATGCAGGATTGAACTACAGACCTTCAGTTTACAAGACTAATGCTCTACCACTAAGCTATAAGGGCTATTAATATTAATACTCAACTCTCGACCTTGGCAATTCTATAGAAACTCCTGTTTAAAAATGTGGGCTGACGCTCTACCACTGAGCTATAAGGGCTATTAATATTAAAACTCAACTCTCGACCTTGGCAATTTCATAGAAACTCCATCTTGATGGCATATAAAACTCAACTCTCGACCTTGGCAATTTCATAGAAACTCCATCTTGATGGCCTAAAAATATGTGTATGCCCTCATGCAGGATTGAACTATAGACCTTCAGTTTACAAGACTGATGCTCTACCACTGAGCTATAAGGGCTATTAATATTAATACTCAACTCTCGACCTTGGCAATTCTATAGAAACTCTTGTTTAAAAATGTGGGCTGACGCTCTACCACTGAGCTATAAGGGCTATTAATATTAAAACTCAACTCTCGACCTTGGCAATTTCATAGAAACTCCATCTTGATGGCCTAAAAATATGTGTATGCCCTCATGCAGGATTGAACTACAGACCTTCAGTTTACAAGACTGATGCTCTACCACTGAGCTATAAGGTCTATTAATATTAAAACTCAACTCTCAACCTTGGCAATTCTATAGAAACACTTATTTAAAAATGTGTATGCCCTCATGCATGATTGAACTACAAACCTTCAATTTCAGTTTACAAGATACCACTAAGCTACAAAGGACTATTTAATATTAAAACTCAACTCTCGCGAAATATAGAATGTTTAAAAATATGTATGCCCTCATGCAGGATTGAACTACAGACCTTCAGTTTACAAGACTGACGCTCTACCACTGAGCTATAAGGGCTATTAATATTAAAACTCAACTCTCGACCTTGGCAATTCTATAGAAACTCTCTCATCTTGACCAACAATAGCCAACACATGAATACGAAATGTAGAATGTTTAAAAATGTGTATGCCCTCATGGCAAGATTGAACTACAAACCTTCCAGTTTACAAGACTAACGCTTTACCACTAAGCTATAAGTGATATGAACCAATGTCTTTAGTAGTTTCATTTTTTAGGCTATATAAAGTCATATATGTTGTATTTGTAAGAAGATTTGGAAAATATATAGTAAAAGAAGCATTTGTGCTTTCTTTAGCCAATGGCTATGTTTATTTGCAATTCTATGTAGTTTAGGTTGTATGTAGAATCATTCAAGCTCGACATGATCAATCTATCGACCTTGCTTGTGGAGTGATTCGAATCTCAAACAATGTTCTTGCCTTGAGA